ATTAATTGTTTGATTAGATGTAGAAGAAGATAGATTGTTAGTTAGTAAATTATAATTTTCAGAAGAAGTTAGTTGATAAGTGGTTAGTTTTGAGTTTGTATGAAGAGTTCTGTATTGATTTGTGAAGTTTGGAATTTACTTGTACGTATAGGTAAATAGGAGTAATTTAGGAGTTGGTTTGATTCGAGAATTTGATGATTTTTGAGAATTGGTTCATGCAAATTAAGGTAGATATGAGTTTCAGTAAAAGTTTGATTTATAGAAATAAGAATTAGTTGTGAGAAGGAATGATTAGATAAGTGTATAAGAAAAGAGCCTAAAGTTTCATCTTCCTTAAGTAGTGATAGGTTGTATTGTTAAAGAAAGAGATTATAGCATGTGTTGGTCATATTTTAAGTTGAAGTTGAATTTAATAGATCGTATGCATTATATGATCTAGATGATATTGGTAAATGCATATTGAAATTTGAATCTCCTAAGGCGCTCGACGTATTTCCAGCTCTTACAGATGCAGAGAATACCAGAGTCTGCTCTGTGTGTTGAGTTTGACCATCATAAACTTGATCCTTCGCGTAAATAGGCTTTACTGCCCGCCTACTTATATCATTCTTCTTACTGACTACAGTGGGTATATCTTTCAGTAAGGTGGCAGCTACATTTATGGGTATAGGAGATTCTATTGTTAAAAAGAATCTTCTAAGAAGAAGAGAGTATCTTCTAACAAAGAAAGCTCAGTAAAAGTGATGTTAAATTTATTAAAAAGGAAGTTTTCTGCTTCAAAAAGAGCTTCCTCTTTGAAATATTTAATAATTTGTTGTAAGGTTAATTGTTCCTCCTTAATCATATCAAAGTAGGTAATTATGCGTGCTAAAAAATGAGTATCAATCATTTTTGGAATAATATATTCGATTGCTTTCTCTTTTGTAAGGTTATGGAGATTGTGGTTTTCAGCAGCTATATGGTAGTAGGCATTTAGATATTGATAGAAATAGTAACTTCGACATTTTTGAAATTTTGTTGTTTTGTTTTGTTTGCAGATGAACTCTTTAGCTTGATCAGCAAGTTCATCAATTAATTTTAGAGGTACTGGTTTTGAAAAGTCAGCTTTATTCTTTCCTTCGATTTCAAAAATAGAAAAGTCAAGTGTAGGTAATTTCCAGATTTCGCTATCTTTTTTTGGATAAGTAGTGTAAGATTGTTTAAGGATTAGTTTAAACAATTTAGAAAAGTCATGTTTGTTTTCATTGATATAAGGACATTCTTTCAAATTATAGTTGAGAATATGAAAGTTTGCAAGATAAATACATTCAATTCGTCTTTCAAAATATTTATTAGGCTCTTGAATAGTTGTTTCAGTAGGAAGGAATTTTTTGAGTTGAATGATGAATTGTTGTCTAATCCTATCTTTTAGAGTATTATAGACCTTTTGTTGGTTTAGAGGCTCAGCGAATTGACAGTTGTATATAGGAAAGAAGTTTTTAAACCATTCATTAAAGTGCTCAAGAGAGTTTTTGAGAGATAAAATATTATAGACTTCTAAAAAAGTAGTTTTTGGTATATTAAAAAGAAGTTGAATATTAAATTTTTTATCAGATTTAATAGTTAGGTATTTTCCTTTCTTGTCAGTAATTACTGTAGAGGAATTAATAGTAAAATGTTTAGTAATAAAATTGAAGTCATCAGCAAATTTTTTGTAGTCTATTGCATGATAGTTATCAGATAAATAAAGGTGAATGCGAGCTAAGTTAATGCAAAATTGCATTCGGTTTTTAGTTTTGTAGGGAGGAATTGTTAAAGAAGAAGCAAAAATAGAACCATAGTTAAGTTTAGTGAATAATATGGTTGTAAATTTGTGGATAAGTTTTTTAAGAGTGTTTTCAAGTATGTTGAATGGAATAGTTATATTAGGGTCAATATTAGGATTACTTTGAAAAATAAAATCTGTTAAGAATTTTGGTCAAGATCTAGCTATTATATGGATAAATTGTTTGAAACTTGCTTTTGAAGCTTTTTGAGTCAAAGTAGCAGCTTTAGTCTCCTTTCCAGGATAGAAATCATGCAAGTAGTTTTTGAGAAAGTTAAATAAGTTATTGAGAGAGTAGTTTGAAGTTTGGTATTTGCTTCCATATTTTTAGTAATTGGATAATTTTTAATCTAATCAAAAGTTGGAGGTTGTTTAGTAGATTTTTCATTAGTAGTTTCATCAGTTTCTATTTGATTAGATTATTTGTTATTTTCATTCTCGATTGTTGTTTCAGAAGTATTATTCTTTGTTTGGTTAGGAGTTGGTTTAGATATAGTAGGTTTTGGAAAAATAGTTTTGTAAAGTAAAATTTTTTCCTTAACTGTTATTTTAGCTATTTTCATAGCTATAAGAACAGATTTTTGTTTCAAAGTAAGAGGAGAAGTTTGGGGTTTAATTGTAAGTTTGATATCCCAGAGTTTAGAAATACAGTGACGGTGTAATAAAAAATTTTTAAAGATTATGCACTGTGTATAGTCAGATGCATGTTTGGTATCAACAAGATAAACATATGGAATAGATTTTTGTTTGCAGCAGAGGAAAGTATGATGGTGATGAGAATGTGAAGTAATTTCAGAAGAGGTTGAATTAGTTTTAAAGTTTGGAAAAAGAATTTTAGGATTGCCAGTTAGTTGTTGTTGATGTTGTTTTGGAATAGAAGAAGTTTGTAATTCATCGGTAATTCTGTTAAAACGTTTAGCAGAAATAATAGGAGAAGTTTCTATTAGAGCTGTTCCTAGGATAGTTTGAAGAGAAATTTTATAGTATTGAGAGGTAAAGTTGGTATGATATTTGCTGCAAAGGCATGTAGCGAGTTGAGGTTGAGTAGGGATTTTAAAGTAGTGATGCTTTTTAGTTAGACTAGCATCATATGCTTTTGGATCGATATCAGCTAGCAAAACACGTAGTTTGCTAGGATTAAGTTCAGTCATACTGATTCTATGACAGTTTCTGTATTTAGAGTAATAGTAGTCAATATTATAAGAGTCAGGCTCTTCAGAAATAAGAGATGGCATATTTAAAATATTCTAGAATTAACGAAATTGTAGTAAGCTTCGAGATGAGCTAAAATTTGTTTTGTATAACATTAATCAAGTGGTACTACACTTGTGACAAGTGTAACAGTTGCAGCTGGTGTGGCTGGTATAGCTGAGGTAGTACATAGTGTAGTACGTATAACTTTACTATAAATAGTAAGGCTTTGTACTTCGTATGCTAAAATTAAAAATAGAATTTTAAAATTAAATATAGATATTTTTAGAAATTAAAAATAATTTGTTTGTTTTTAGATTTATGCTGGATTTGTAATTTGAATTACAAATCTTGTATGCAAGATAAATTTTGTACAAATTTGATAAGATTCAAATTTAGTAGTCTGTAATTTATGTTACAGTTACAAATTTGGCCAAAATTAGAAAGAGAATTGATTATCAAAAAAGTAAGAATTTTTGGGACAAAAGAAAAATTTATAGGCGTTTTTAAAGCTGTTTGAGATACTAGAGAGCTCATTTTTGTGCTAGAAAGATGATTTAGGACTTGTTATGACCGGAAGAGGCTAGCCAACAACTTTACTTAAGAGTACAAAAGAGGTTTAGAAGCTAGTTTTAAAGATATTTTAGAATTCTGGAGCACTTAGTTTTTTGAGTATAACTCTGCTTAAAAGAAAGCGAGAGGTATAAAACTAGGCTGCTAGGATGTAAAAATATGTGTAGAGCAAGTTTACTTAAGAGCACTTGCTTAGTTTACTTAATAAAATTTTGAAGAAATTTGGTTTTGTTGTAAAAATTTTTTAGGAAAATTTGGTACAAAAGATCTACAGATTAAGTGCGTCCGTCATAACATAAACAAGTTTCTTTCTGTTCTTTAATAAATAAATATAATATTAATATTTTTATATATTAATAATTGTTTTCAATTATTTTAAATATTTTCATATACTATAAATTAGTAAAGATACAATTATTAATGTTTTTATATATTATTAATTGTTTACTACCTCTTTCATCAAATTTTACCTAATTTTTTTAATTAAGTCTTTTTAAACACTATAAACTAAAAGCTATATTAAAATTAGTTTTTATACTAATATCAGCTAGTTTTAAGAATTCTATAAAATATGAATTCCTAGTATTATTAATATTGATTATGCAGCTTTGATAATTTAACTCTAAGCTAGAATTTATTTAGCAATTCACCTTCTTCTATTTCTGAATAAAAAGTAGAATAACTTCTATCTATTTATTTTTTTTCAAGAATATTTAAAGCTAACAAAAAAATATTAATTGGTACTAACTCTTCTTTTTCCTTTTTCAAAAAACAAATAAATTCATTTTTAATCTTTTTATCTACTTCTTGAAATTCTTTATAGATATTATCTTCTTTAAGGTTGATAAAACCTTCATTCTCAACTTCATCTCTAATATTATTTACTAGATTCTTCTTAGAGGTACTAACACTACCACAAGCTTCTGCTCTAGTTCCTTCTGACAGCTTATTTGGCTGTTTTCTCAAAAAAGAGATGCAATCTTTTACTTAGTACTTCCTTATTACCTTTGTCTGAAAGACTGTATGAGACACATAGTCCCTTCAATTTGCTCAGAGTTAACTTGGTCCAACTGACTACTGATATTACAAACAGCATTATTAGAAAAGAATTCTAAGTTTAAGTTTTTATTTATTTATTTATTACATATCTTAATCGAATTGTTTATACAATACAAATAGCAGTGATAATATATATTAACAGATTATTTAATAGTACTCTTTCTTTCTATGAACAAAATAATAGAGCCAGCTTTTACTAAGGTGAGTGATAGCAAAATAAAAGATAACTTTCTCTCTTCCAAACAACTACTCTTATAATCATTATTCCTTAATTTTCACATGCAAATCTTTTCTCCTTCATACCCTTAGTCATATTTAATCTTCCTATTTACTGATATTCATATAACTCTAAATTTACTTCAAATCATATGCCATCATAATAATAATACCAAAAAACCTGCATTTAACAAGAAATATTAACAAGAATACTAGACTAACCATAAAAGACATATGAATGCGATCTGCAATAAAGTTATCTGATCTTGCAATAATGACCGCTCTGTCACTTGTTGACAAGCTTTTCAATATTTGAAGATATTTTCAAATTTCATAAATTAGTAGAATTCAATAATGACATTAAAAATCAGAAATGACTAAGTTATTATTGAGAAATCTTCAATCAAGATTGAAAAAAAATAACTAATCACAGATTTATATAATGAAATTTGTTCACTATTTACTTTAAACTTATAGAATACTAATAATCATATAAAGTTGGAAAATTTACAGGTTCATAGATATTCTAATATCGTAAAACTAAATAAATTCGATGAATATATTTTTATTTGAATTCAAAGAATTCCAACAAAAAAAATTTTTTTCGAGTTGTCGGATAACTTACAAAGTTTTTAAACATCTATAAAAAAAAAAATTCAAAGCTTTAATTAAAGTTATTTCAATAAATTTGAATTTTATGAAAAGCTTTTTACGTACATATAAACTAAAAAAAATTTTGTTCTGTTGTTATATAAAAAAATAGTATAAGTACGTACTGTTGAGAAGGTATGAACTGGTTCTAGAACAGAACTCGATCGGAGGTCTATGGTCATACCAATATCTTGTCTACAAACAATCAACACTATAAATACTAATCCAACAATTAACCTAAGTTGGTAGGCTGAAAGACAGCATGGAAGATTTGGTTTGAGTTTTAGGGATCTTGTAGATTATTTTAGAGTTTATGGAGATAGGTGTTTCATTATTCCTGGTTGTTTCAGTTTTAGTCTTTTTGTATTCTTTATATTTTTACTGATAATTGCGAGGCACGTGATTTGGGCTTCACTTTGATTGGTTGTTGATCTAACAATGAGAATCAAGTTGTCTATAAAACTATATGAAAAAGATTGATTATTGTTAAAATTGGTCAGGATTTAATTATCACGAAGTGTGGTTTATCAATTTAAGTTCTTTAATAATGGAGATCTGGATCAGAGAGTTATCACTACACTATCTATAGGTAATTGTTTTTAAATTCAGTTTTCAACACAATTTATAAACAATAGGACTTTTCAGTACTTAATATTTTTACTCGAATTTCGAAGTATTAATACTTAGACGATTTAGAACTTAGAGTTTTATCTAAACTCTAGAAGTTATTTTATTTGAGGCAACTTACGTTGCTTTATATAGATAATTTTTACATATAGAAAATAACAATAATAAAAATAATAAGAAAAATAAAAAGGATAAAAATAATAATAATAAAAAAAATAATAAAAATAATAAAAATAATAGAGCTAATAATAAAAATAATGTAAATCGAAATAATCAAAACATTTAAGATAATTTTAATAATTAAAACAATAACAGTAATAAATCTGATTAATAAAATTATAGAAATCAAAAAAATTATGCATATTAGGCCTATACTATATTAGAATATAGTACATTTGAGGTGATCAAAATTGCCTTTTACAACTCTTCTCTTCTAGAAAAAGCTTGTTCTATGAGCTCAACTTGGTATAATCTCTGGTATATTTCCTTTTTAAGTTTGAAAACCATAAGGATTGTAGTGTAGAAAGTTCTATACAGTTGAGTAGAGCCGAAGGGTTCGAACAAGTAGTAGATATGGAGAGCAGCACTTAGATAGTAGTTAGAGTACCTTCTTTTTAATGTGGCCTTTTCTTCCTTAGTCATTATATGTAGTCTGGCACTAAAATAGAAGGTGTGGAATAAAACCTTAATTCTATTACCTCTACTTTTTGCTCTTTTCATACCATCGTAGGCTAAACATAATTAAGTTATGTAATCCTAGTCTACTCTATAAGGACAAAGTCTAAAGTTACAATTAGAGGTTCTTGGGACAATAGGTCTTCTTTGATTAGGATTTTGTTAGGAGTCATTTTGGAAGTAGAAATGTTTTCTTTATGGTTTTTTTGGAAGCCTATTGTTACGTTGGTTTGACTTCTTTAACAAGACCAACTAACTAGAGAAACTAATAACAGTAAATACTTTGTGTAACGTCCTTGTTACTGTATTTTGTCAAAGTCTTTAGAGCGTTTTTACAAAACTTAACAAAGAAGATTTAGGGTAATTTGC